CCCACACACAGCTTGCCCTCCATCCGAGCTCCCGTCTGCTGCTCCCCTGGTTTGGCCATGTCCACCTTGCTCTGCTGCCTCTTCTGCAGGAGCTTTTCAATCTTTTCAGACTGGGGCCTCCCTTTCCTTCTCAGGGAGGGGCCGATTTCACACAGATGAAGCCAGAGGTCAGGGCGGGTTTTCTGGCAGTGTGCCTCTGCTTGGAACATGGGGTTGCCAATACACGCTCCAGTTGCTCAGTTCCTGAGGCGTAGCTTTTGTGTGTGTGTGTGCCAGAGAGCACCCCCCCCCCATCTCTTCTCCTCCATTTCTTCATCTTTTTGGGGTTTGGGATATACATGCATGCGGGCCTGGCATGTGCTGCAAGCTGCTGGGCTGGGATTTGAACCTCAGTCATCCACGTAGGATCTAGCTCCTTTGGCTCCTAGGCCATGAGCTGGCCCTGTTGATTTAGACTTTTTTCTTTCATTCTGAGAGACAGAGAGAGAGAGAGAGAGTACCCCAACACCATCTTGACAACGCGACTCCCCCAGCCTCTGTCTGCCCAGGGTGTGGCACACACACGTCGTACTCCGAAGGTCTCTGGGAGCGAGCAGGGAACCTCCCTGCGAGGCTCTGCGACAGCATCGCCGTTCACTGCTGCGCCAGCTCACTGGACGGCGCTGGGGGACAGAAGACTGGGCAACTCCTGGACAGAGAGGAAGACAATTCACAGAGGTGCAGGGACCCACACAGGCAGACGGGTAAAGAGACAGATCAGGACAAAGAGAGACCAAGGGTCTACCAAAGTTCAAGGCTGCTGCTTCATTCTTGTGGTTTAGTTGGGAAACAAGAATCAGAACAAGAGGCCCCTGAGGGTGAGGGAACAGGATCCAGAGATGGCCACATTTCGCTGGCCGAGGTTGGCGAGCTGGTCGCTGAAGGCGGTGCATCTTTACCTTGGCTGGATACCTCCTGCCTCTGGTCCTGATGCCGCACCCGTGGCTTCAATCCCTCCTCGTTATTTAATGCAAAGAGAAGCAGAGCCAGGGCCCCTGAAGATCACAGGAAAGTCCTGCACAGCTGACTGTGTGGTCTGAGGTCCAGACCTGGTGCCTGGTGGCTTAAAAAACACTCATGGGTGGGGACCAGCAGGTGGCATGATGGTTAAGGCTCTGGATTTTCACATGGCTGACTGTGGTTTGAGTCCTGGGCCTGGAGATTTGAAAATCACACCGGACGCCTGTGTGTGCATGTCCCAAATCCTGAGAGGAGAATGGATGGCAGTGTAGCTGTCCCACCTGAGGGGTGTCCTCTTGCTCTCTTTCTCTCTCCTCTCCCTCGTGCACTTGGCCTCTAGCAAATTAAAACGTGCTAATATGCATGAACAGAAGCTGCGATCGAGTTAAAATCACGTAGAACTCACATATGCACACTTTCAGGCACACGTCCACGTGCAAGTCAATCAGGGAACCCGAGTGACATCACGACACGGCAGCGATGTCAATATACCGCTATGATAATGCGCTATCACCGTTGCAGACGATTGGGTGACCCAAGTGGGTCCGGGGTACATGGAACCTCTCTGTACTATTTCCTATGACTGCATGTAAATCCACAATTACCTCAAAATTAAAAGTGTTTACTTATTTATTTATTTTTTTGTCCCTGGAGAGATGGTGCTTTGAGTGTAGATGCCAGTGGGAAGATGATTGGGAAACTCCTAGTCGGGAGAGGGACAGAGTCCCACAGAGACAGGTGGGTCAAGAGACAGATGGCGACAAAGAGAAAGAGAGACCAAGGGTTTCCCAAGGATGGCATGGTGGTTAGGTGGCTGGATCCCACATGGCCAACTGCGTGGTTCAAGTCCAAGACCCAGCAGCTTGAAAAATATGCTGGGTGTGTATGCGTGCCCCAAATCCTGAAAGGATGGAGAAAAAGAGGAGAAGGGATTGGGGTGTGAGCATTCCGATGAGGGCGCTTTCTCTCTCTCTCTACTTTTTTGGGTCAGTAGGTGGCATAGAGGTTAAGGTACTGGATTCCAACAGCCAGCTGCATAGTTTGAGTCCTGGACCCGGTGGCTTGAAAAAAAATCACACAGGGTGCTTGTGTGTGCGTGGCTAAGATCCCAAGAGGAGACTGGAGGAGAAGGGACTGTGACGTGGCCATCCCCCAGGGTAATTTCTCACTGTTTTCTCTCCCTCTCTGTCTCTCTCTGGTGAGTGCAAATAAACAAACAAACAAAAGTTGTCCAATCTTTTCATGAAGTTCACCTTGAGAACGTTTCAGGCGCCCAGCTCCAGTGTGCTTTGCTGATGTCAAGTCTGGGGCACGGCTGTGATGGGCTGCCCCTCCACGGTGCTGCAGGAACAGCGTCAAGGACGAGCTCGGCAGGTTCCTCACGCCGAGTGCCTACTGTGCGCGAGGGGGAGCCTTACTCAAGGGGGGCCTGGCAGCAAGTGCCGGGCTCTGAGTTCAAGGTCAAGGCCTTGGACCCAAAGCTAGAATAAAGAGAGACTCCAAAGCCCACCCTCGGGGCGATCCTCCACCCCATTCTGTCTCTGCTCCTTGACAGTGCTGCTGCCGGGAGGCACCTGGGAGCTTGGGGCAGTGCGGATTCCGGAAATGCTGGGAAATGCCGAGGCTGCCGTGCTTTGAGCAGTGAGGCCTCTTAGTCTTACCTCCTAGAATTGGGGACTGTTAATACTGACTTTTCAAGTTCATGGGGAAAAAAAATTTTTTTTTTTTGGAGGGGTTTTTGTTAAAGGGCGCATGCGCACATCAGAAAGACAAAAAAAAATTTTTTTTGGAGAGGTTTTTGTTATAGGGCGCATGCGCACGTCAGAAAGACAGAGAGACAGAAAACGAGAAATCACCCCCTGGAGGGATGGCCACAGAGCAATCCCTTCTCCTCCATTCTCTTTTTGGGATCTTGGGCACGCACACACACACACCTGGCCTGAGTTTAAACACCGGGTCCGGGACTCAAACCGCAGTTGATAACATGGGAGTCCAGCGACGTAGCCATTACGCCATCTGCTGGTCCCACGGGAAAATATTTTAACAAAACTCAAATTCCAGGGCCAGCAGAAGGCATGGAATTTAAGGCACTGGATTCCACTTGGTCAGTCTTGTGGTTCTAGTCCCAGAACCACAGCTTGAGAATCATGCCCGGTGTGTGTGTGTGTGTGCATGCCCAAATCCTGAGAGGAGAGTGGAAGAGTAGGGATTGCCATGTGCCATCTCCTGGGGCAGCGGGTAACTTCTCACTCCCCCACCCCCCGTCTGTCTCTACTTGGCAAGTGCACACTTCCTATAGCAAAAACTAACGCACACGCACACAGACACACACACAAATTCCATGTTTTTATTGCCAGAGGGTGTGTTCACTTAGAGAGAGAATGAAAGTGAGGCGTGGTCATGCCACGATCCTCGTCTACGTTTCTCCTTCCTGTCAGGATTTTGGGTACGAGCACGCTACATGGTTTTCCACCTATAGGGCCAAAATTTTAGCTATGGTCGGCCATTTGGGATCTGGCTCCCTTAACTGGTAGGCTATAGGACCAGCCTAACAAAATATCCATCTTTTATCACAATTCTTGTAATTTTATTGTTAAATGTCATGGTACAACTGCTTGTCCAATAGGAGGAAAATAAAGTAAGACCTCTATCCGATTTATTAAAAATAAGTTTCATTTTGAAATCAGGTAACATACTTGTCGGTGGGTTAAAATGATGGGTGCCGCTGTGCGCCATGGTCGTGCCAGGGTTTCTCACGTGGCTTTGCCCCCACACGCGCACCTGCGAGGTTTGGGCAGGGCTGGGACCTCGCCACACGTGCCCAGCTGCTCCTGCTTGGTCCTCCCAGCTGCCAGCATCACTGCCGTGTCAGGATAAAGGCTCTGGAAATGTCCAGCGTTGGAGGCTGTTCAAGGAAGGGTAACGTCATCTCTCCAGGGGAGGGCAGGTGAGAGGCTTGCTGCTTTCCACCGTAAATAAGGTTGCAATCGCTGTCCCTGTGTGTTAGCTTTTTCTATGTTTCGGATTCTGGCTTCAGACCGGATTTCTGTATGTGAGATTACTGGGACAAGGTTCTAAAACATTCAGTACTGATGAGCCGGGCAAATGCACGTCACATTAGTTTTGCAAAAGGGAAGCAAGGTTTTCTGCTTTTTAATTTTTTCAGGACAAATATTCACTTACTTTTCTCCTATAAAATGCCATGTATAATAATAAAATATATAATGCTGTAAAAATGTTCTTGTTTTTTCCTCTTTAGGCTTTCTTCTGTTTAGGTTTAAAAACTCCTGTTCTATCCAGAGCTTTACAACGATTCAAAGTGGTAGCTTCTATGATTCATTTTCTTTTCTTTTCTTTTCTTTTCTTTTCTTTTTTTTTGGTTTGTTTTTTTGCTATAAGTTGCCTGCGCTCAGAGACAGAGAGGGGAGGGCAGGT